CGCGTGTGTGTGTGTGATGGTGGATGCGTCTGTGGGCGTTTCAATCCGTTTGAGGACAACAGTAAGCAAAGCCAAACTAGATGTCCGCTCATTCAAGATATTTGTATAATACTGAGTAATACACAAGAAACTAGTTATTTAACAATATTTGAAAACCCTGAAGTCACAACAATACCTTATTCATGTGTAAAAACGACAACAGTTACAGTACGAGTTTATCAGCTGTCTGCAAGGTAATCCCTCCAAGAAATATACACCATGAGACTCAAGCTATCAACAAATAGAACAAGACAACAGCTACAGTATGAGTCTTTCATCTGTCTGTAAGGTAATCCCTCCAAGAAATATACACCATGAGACTCAAGCATCAACAAATAGAACAAGACAACAGTTACAGTATGAGTCTTTCATCTGTCTGCAAGGTAATCCCTCCAAGAAATATACACCATGAGACTGAAGCATCAACAAATAGAACAAGACAACAGCTACAGTATGAGTCTTTCATCTGTCTGTAAGGTAATCCCTCCAAGAAATATACCCAATGAGACTGAAGCATTACGAGTCTATCATCCGTCTAGAACAAGTGTAATACTGTTACTGTGAATGGAAGAAAGTCTGACTTAATTTACTCTTGTAATTATCAAGTAATATTAAGTCATTTTACTGTGTGAGAAAAACTGATCTTCCCAATGGAACTCGTGTTATCCAATGACCTTCACGGATGTTATGAAAGTGTCTATAATAGCTTTATTTCAAATCTCCTGACGACCCAAAAGCACTCCCCAATAATCCATGAAAATAGATTATTTCTTAATTATTAGACACTTCCACTCATAAGTTCTTATGATCCCATCAAGTACTAACAAGAAAGTTTCCTGAAAAGATTTCCACTTGTCAAAAGACAACAAAGAAAATTAACTGCGACAAAGTTTCCAGTCGAAAACAAACCTTGTGTGTGTTTGTTTGGTTGCCAAGTACAAAGCGACGCAATGGGCTATCTGTGTTGTTTTTGTTTGGTTGGTTGCCAAGCACAAAGCGACGCAATGGACTATCTGTGTTGTGTTTGTTTGTTTCGAATTCCGTGCAAAAGCTACTCGAGAGCTATCTGCTATAGCCGTCCCTTATTTAGATGTGATAGACCAGAGGGAAGGCAACTAATCAATACCACCCACCGCCAAATCGTGGGCTACTCTAACAGAATAGTGGGATTGACTGTCACATTATAACGCCCGCACAGCTGAAACGCCGAGCATGTTCGGTGATAGGATTCTAGCCCGTCTCCGGCTGATTACTAGTTAAACGCCCTGCCCACTAGGCTATAACACCACCTCTTCCCGTGCTGTGTCCCTTGTGTGTATAGAAACCCAATATTTAGCATTACAAGCCCCCTCCCCTCCCACACTGAACGCTGAGCAAACGGGATGGGGACGAAAAACAGTTCTAAATTTTACCAGTTTTGTTAACCCGACAAAACACATGAAGTGTTAATGAAAAATATCATGATTCAATTAAAATCATTCACAAAGTGAAAAAAAATGGATAGTTCTAGATGTTGGAATTTTCTATACTTGACGTTGAATATAGTAACAAAAATACGACAACTTCGATAAGTGTTCTTAAAGCTTGTAATAACACCCTTGTTTTACGTC